CCGGCCCAGGGGGCACGGGCAGGGCAGGGGCAGGGCTCAGACCCTTGGACCCTGCCGTGGAGACCCCATGTCTGGGGGAGGCTGTGGCACCCTGGTGGCCCACGGCTGCTTGGGACCGGGTCCGAGCGCAGTCCCAATGCCCAGGCCCTGGTGCTGGAAGTGTTCCCTTGCAAGTTCCCTGGAAGAGCAGGTGTGCAAACCCTGCCATGAAGGTGCGTGCACACATGTGAGCCCTGCATGCACAAGCACACACTCCAGCAAACCTGGCCTCTGCCCCCTGAACTGCTCCTGCCCGGCAATCGTGAGGCACAGGCCAGCATGGATGGGACGTGGCTGGTTCGGGGCCCAAATCAGACGGAGGCCACATGCAATGGCAGACACATGAGTTTAATTAAGAAGCCTGCGGATCCCGGACTCAGCCCGTCGGATGGCGCCAGCATGCACGCACCCGGCCTCCTCGTGCGCAAAGCACCGGTGAAAAGTGTGGCAGCGTCCTGCCAGCTCCGGATGCAGATGCCCAGAGATGCGCCAGGAACGGGTAAGCAGGGAGAGCCACGCAGCAGCTGCCCCAGGGAGCAGGGGGTTTGGGGTGGAACGAGGGCCCTCCCACCCGTCTGGGGACCAGACCCTACCACTACTGCTGCCCCTTGCTCCTGCCCCACATCCGGCCTCTCCTCCAGGCCCATACTGCCCCGTGGCCCTTGCCACTTGCCCCGTTTCTTACCTTCTTTCCACCTGAACAGCCCCTGCCACCTCCTCCCAGCACCATCACGGGATGCCCTTGGCCCTGCCCTGCTGACTGCTCCAGATCCCCTCTCCAGGACCCTCCTCGCTGTCCTGCTCCTCTCCCCGCACTCGGACACCTGCGTTCCTTTGCCCTCACCGTGGCATTAAGCCACCAGAAAGCTGCTGCCTCCCCCTGCACCCTCCATCACATCCCCTTTGCTTTCAGTGCCTCCCGGCACGCTCTGGGCACATGCTACAGGCCAGCTCCTGCCCTGGTAGACCCCCATGCCTCCCAGCACAGGCCCCCTTCCCCCCTCCATGGCACCACTTCATTGGAAACCAGTTCCCATCAGGAGGTGCCCCCAGCCCCGGGCACCCGTCTCCCCTGCCCCCACGACTCCTACTCCCCTGGCAGCTGCTGCTGGAGTCTGGGGCAGGCTTAAGGGACCTTGAACCCCATCAGCAGCAGGGGTGCGGGGGGTCCTAGGGCAATGCAGGCTCTGGAGCTGTGGAGGGGCCTAGAGGCGCTGGAGCAGGGCAAGGGCATACTCCACGCGGTCCCGCAGTGCCGGCGTGCAGCCCGCCGCGGCCAGGGCCCCCAGCGGGAAGGCGGCGCTGCGGCGCTCCCCGTCCACGAAGGTCAGGACGGGCTCGGGGCCCGCGCAGTGCAGCACCAGCTTGGTGTGGTCGCGGTAGAAGTTGACCTGCATGGAGAGGGTGAGGGCGCATGGGAAGCTGCGGCAGGGGTTGCGGTGCCAGGCCCCATGGCCCCTCCCGCCTGGTGGTAAAAGGGGGGCACATCCGAGGCCATCAAACTCGTGCCACGTGCGTCCGGGGGCCTGCCCCAGGCTGGAGGAGCTGCGGGGAATAGAAAGGGGGGTACCTGCAGTGTCTGGTTGCTGAAGAGCATGAGCAGCGCTTGGTCGGACTTGGCGAAGTGCAGCAGGTACAGGTTGTCCACTATGTCCGCAGGCCCTGCCGGCAGGGCCCCGCCCTGCCTGGGGTGGGGGCGACATGCTAGCAAGACGGGGGGGGCTTCCCGCTCTGCCCCAGCGCTTGCTGCTGATCGCGGCCCCTGCACCCACCTCCAGCAGCTTCTGCTGCATGTACTGCGAGAAGAAGTGCAGGACGCCCATCTTCACGGCCAGCGAGCCAGGCACCTCCCCACGGGCGAAGGAGACGGCCTCCCCGAGCCTGGGGCAGTAATGGACACACCTGGAAGGGATGAGGGGGCATGAGGGCGAAGGCAGCAGGGACCAGGGCCAGGTGGGAGCTGGGGGGTGCAGGGGTGGCTGCAGCAGCCTAGGCCAGGGGAGAAGGTGGCAGCCCCAAGCCAGGACCACTGCCACGGGGAGCCTGGTACCTACTGCTGCCGGGGGCCGAGGGTGAGGTGGGTGCCGTCGGCGAGCAGGACGCCGGTGGAGCTGTTGGAGAGCAGGTAGCCGAAGCCGTACTTGTTGGAGTAGTCGACCCACTTGGTGACCCAGGGCAGGACCCGAGCCTGGCATGGCGGGGGGTTGCGCTGGGCTGCTGGGAGCGGAGGGGTGGGCATGGGTGGCAGCCTCGGCACAGCTGCTACATCCATGCCAGCCCTGCAGTAATGTTCCCCTGCCGCCAGCTGGACCCCAGGCACCGCTGCGCTGGCTGGGGGATCCCCCATGCCCGTCCTGGGGCCAGGCAGTTTTGCAGGGGGCACCCAGTGTCTGGGCAGAAAAGGGCCTGGCGTCATAGCTCGGACTCCGGGGTTTCTCTTACCCAGAGGTGTGTTCTCCAGGCAGCTCCGCAGCACCCTGGTGACCGACTCCACTGGGCTCTCCAGGCTCCAGCCTGCATCCGCTGCAGGGGTTAGGGTCGGGGTTGGGGTTAGGGGAGAGAGCCCACTCCTGCCAGGCTGCACGGTTGGTAGCTGGAGCCACTTGTCCCCCAAAAAGAGCCAGCCCACGTGCCCTCTGCTGTGAGCAGGGCTGCTCCCCTCATGCCAGGCTGTCCAGGACCGAGGGGCTCTCCTGGGGTCCCCGTGTCACCATGACCCCAGCCCTGAGGGGTCCCAGGCTGCAGCTCAGAGCCAACCTCACTGCCCCCTTCTCCGGTGCCCAGCCCCGTGCTCCCACTCACAGTCGGCGCTGAAGTTGAGTGCTCCCTTCGCGAGCAGGCGGATGGGGACCCTGCCGGGCTCCTCGCTCAGGGGCTCAGCCTGGATGTTTCCCCGCTCTGTCTGGCCAGGGGATGGGCCGAGGGGAGCAGAGCCAAGATCCGCAGCCCCCCATGCCCCCGCCACCGGGCTGGGCGGAGGCTGGGCTGGCATGGCAGGGCTTGCCAGCTCCTCACTGAGTCCTGGGCTACCTGCAAGGACATGGACACGGGCACGGGCTGTGAGGGGACGAAGGCAGCGCTCAGTGCAGCCTGGGGCAGGGGGGACACTGGACCCACCTGCCCGGGGCTCCTGGCACGGTGCCCCCCGAAACAGCACCTTGGCTGCCTTCTGCAGGAGCTTGCTGAGCGGGTTGGGCCCGGCCAAGAGTGGCACCGAGTGGCAGGCACGGGATGGCAGCTTGTCCGGCGTGAAGCCCTGGTGAGCAACCGGGTCGAGTGTGAACACTCGGAATGGTCGCCACACACGCACCCTCAGGCTGCAGGCACATCGCCCAGCGCACGCCGCCCCTACCTGGGTGAAGAAGTCGTGCCGCAGCACCTCGTCCAGGCTGGGCCGCGCGGCGGGGTCAGGGGCCAGCAGGCGCGTGATGAGGCTCCGGGCGCTGGGCGAGAGCTGGCTGGGCGCAGGGTACCGGCCCTCCCGGATGCACTGGTACATCTCCTGCTTGCGGGCGATCTCGAAGGGCGAGCAGCCCGTCAGTGCCGTGTACCTGCCCGGGCGGGGGGCTGTCAGTGCCTTGCCAGGAGCAGCCACCGCAGCCCCTGACCCAGGTCCCTGAGGAGGGGGCTGCATGCCCCAGCTTTGGGACACCCTCCCCCCCAAGCTGCAGCCCCCAGTTGGGGAAAGACCCTTCCTTTGTTCCCATCCCACAAATCCCCCCAGGGGGACAGGGGCTGGCTCCCCCCGGAGAGGAGAGACCCCCACTCCAGCTGTGCCCCACGCTCACATGATGCAGCCCAAGGCCCAGATGTCGGACTTCACGGAGTGGCCCCGCTTCTCGATCACCTCGGGCGCCAGGTAATTGGGGGTCCCGCAGACCACCCTGTGGAGGCAGGGAGAGGGGGTGAGTCCGTGCCCCCCAGCCCAGCCCGGACCCCGCTGCACCCCCGGCCGCACTCACCCCCGCCGCCGGCCTGCCGGGGCCTCCCGCGTGGCCAGGCCCAGGTCCCCGATCTTCACCTGCATGGTCTTGGTGAGGAAGAAGTTACCTGCGACGGCGGGGATGGGGAGGGGGGCAGGTCAGTGTTTCCAGCCTCCCCCCTCCCCAGACCTGTGCCCAGAGGGGAAACTGAGGCAACGTATGTGCGGGAGGAAGCCGCTGGCATGCGCGCGGAGGGGGAGCAGGGGGTCTGCACAGCCCCCCACGGGGCAGGCGGCCGGGCAGCCCCGACACGGCGCGCGGCTCGGGCCCCGGGCGGAGCATGAGGTCACTGCCGCGGCATGTCTCCACCGAGCCGGGCGCCGCGGGTATTTTTAACCCTCTCCGGGCCCCGTCTGCGCTGGGGGCTCGGGGGCCAAGGCCGAGGGCACCGTGGGGGCAAGGGGGGGGGGGTTAACTCCTTCACTGCTGACCC